TCTAAAAAAACGTATATAGTTTTAACAAACTATCAGTTAAGATAGATTGATTTAAATTAATATTTGGAACAGAACAGCTTACTATCTGATCTTCAAAATGCAGTTACATGAACATTAAAGTAGGCTTTTGCCAGTCATTTAATGTAAAAGAAACCAGAAAGCCTCAAAATAAAAAAAACTTCCTGTAGTTAACCTACAAGCTTTTTTGAAGCTGTCAGAAGTGCCAGTGTGTAAGAGTCACACCACCAGATGTAATTCAATGTACTGAAACCCTCCTCCTCTGTACTTCACTGTTAGGCCTGAAGTTAGCCTCTCCAGCACCTTTCCGGACTCCCTGCTACTCCTTGCAGCGGCAGATGCTTCAGACCATTCAAAGTTTCACCTGAAACCCCCGAGGCAGCCGAAGATGCCCATTAAGGGAAGGATTAGCTAAGACAATAGACAGGCTAATGTTTCCCTCCCCTCACACAGAATGAGTATTTATGTAAAAACCCCAAAGCTAGACCAAATGCCAAGATAAGGCAGGACATTTTAGACCTGAATAAGGTGGGGAAAAAGTTATTGCCGTCCCACCAGTCAAACACAACTTTTTTCCTTTCTTTGTGCAAAGCACTTAACCGACGTGACTCACAGAAAATATGCAAAACCTAAGCTAGTTTAGCTTCGTCTGCTTCTCTCTGCAGCTCCGTTACTCCAGTTCTTCGACAACAGCACTTCGGCCAAGACTGCCAAATCAGAGGGGAAATGGCGCCAAATGCTCCAAACATAAACATGAAGAGGCAAGCGTTGCAAAAAGTCTGATGGAGCTAGCAGGCCCCAGTACGGATGCAGCGTACCTCTCCCAGCACAGCCGCGGGGTGATCCAGCAGCTAAGGGAAGCCTTTTATGCTGGGCAGTGCCACAAAACTGGTACTGTCTGTTTACCGTAACGGGCAGCTGGTCAGCTTTAGGCAACTCAGGTCACTTTGCCATGCTAGCAGTGCTTCACAGCCAGCAGCATGCGATTTGTAAGAGGGACTTGAACAGCAGCATTCAGCGAGGTTAGCGATTTTGGGCTCCTCCAACCAGAAACTCGGGCAGTGAGACTTTAAAAAAAAAAAACAAAGCAAACAAACAAACACAAAATGTTCTGTGTTAGTTCTCCCTCCTGTTGTCACTACCCTCCCCCAGCTTGTTAACTAAACTTTTCCTCTCCCAGGGATCTTTCTGACTCGGGCAGTGACTTTAAAAAAAAAAAAACAAAGCAAACAAACAAACACAAAATGTTCTGTGTTAGTTCTCCCTCCTGTTGTCACTACCCTCCCCCAGCTTGTTAACTAAACTTTTCCTCTCCCAGGGATCTTTCTGACCCTTCAGCGAAGCTGTAATGAATTTGCAACATCAGTCACTTTGCAAACCGACTTCAGCGTGAATCAAGTTTATCACAAGCTCAAGAAAATACAGGGAATTCTAACAATCACATAGCCAGAAGGAGGATATAAGCAGGGAAGAATAGAAGTAGTACTGGAAAATTGGTTTTCAATCATGTAAAGAAGCAGCGTACACCATTCCCAGGGGCCTGGGTTAAGGCAGAACATCAGAATGAAAATGTACGCTGCACCGTTACCCAAAGCAGCAGATTATGGGCAAACAGCATAACGAAAAGCAGACTTAAGAGCTAAAAATCCTCTGTTCTGTTTTCAAGAATTATTAAGGACAGAAAAAAACCTCTCTGTAAATTCAAACCTGAAGACAGTCACCTGACTACGATATTAATCCAAGTATGTTGAAACTAAGTATCTGGAAGGGATTTTACACTTTCCTGTATCCCTCCCACCAAGCCAGTTTATCTGCAGCCAGGCTGGTAATCCTCCCGGCCCGTGGACTCTTACAGCACCTGTAGGAGTTTTACGCTGAACTAGCAATTCTGAAACAGAGTTGTGAGAAGAGCTGACACCCTGACGGATGAATTGGGAAGCCACTTCCACCCACATTAATTCAGGAGAGCAGGCGTTCCACAGTGTATCAACAAAACTTGTTATTTCCCATCAGTGATGTGTAATACTATCAGACGGGGAAAGTTTTGGGGGTTTTGGCCCAGCGCCTTCTGTTTTCTGCAGAAGACAACAGGTTTAGGTACCAAACTGAAGTTAAGGCAAACCGCTGAAGTTTGAGAACCACACACTTACCTAATGAAGCCAACCTGCTCGCTACACGTTTAAACACCACGATACAGAAGAGCCTTCTCTACGCAGGAAGAAACAAAACTAGTTTATGGGCCACTGAGCTGGGTTAACTCCTGGGCTTGTCTCCAGCCTACTGCGTGACTTGGGCTGATCACACCCTTGTCATTCATTTTCTCTTATAATATGGCCTCTCCTATACAGCTTTAATCAACTGGTTACAAATCCTAGTCCAATTAAGAGCTGCTCTTCTCTTTTTGTTTTCCTCTTTTTGCTATATTGATAATAAATGCAACCTGGTACTAAAGCTTACATAAATATTTAAAGAACAGGTAAGCTGTCGACACAATTCAGCTAGTATGCCCCAGCAGTATATTTAAACTGCCGTTCAAATGACTTAAAACAAGCATTGCATTACAGCTGCTATTCTTTAAATAAAAAAGGAGGCAGAAAGGAAGTTGCAAGTGCTGCCTTTATGCCTAAGTTTATATCCAGAACGGAAACTTAACTTTAAGCAAGATGTAGGAGGTACAGGGAAGAAAACACGAAAACAAAAACCGAGCATCCCTTCAAAACAGCCTGGTTCACTTGAAGGCCTCGGCCAAGCGACGGACAGGGGTCCACGAGCAGGGAGGCAGAACCGGGCCCAAGCCGGAGGCCTTTAGGCGAAGCCTGTCCAGCAGCGCGCAGCTGGCCCGCTGCGCCACTCCAGACCGTGCCACCTCCCCCGGCAGGGTCTGGGCTACTGTCAAAACGATCACCCGAGATACACCCCAGGAAAGGCAACAAATGAAGCGAGAAGGTGTGATCAGAATTGCCCCTTCCATTTCTGTTCTGAAGGGTGACTAGCTAGCCAAAGATTATTTTTTTTTGGTAATTATAACGCAGCTAACTCAAGTACAGCCAAAGCTTTACAGATATCTGACGTACATGACTGTTTCCCACTCGCCAGCTACAAGAAACTTGCCAAATTAAGCCATGAAATTCAGCCATGCACAAAGTGGTCTCACTAACGGTTAGGTTTAACTAGGATTCAGAGTCAACCAGGAAACTCTACAGCGTTAGTCACAGCTCTTCCGTCTCAAAATGTGAAGTTTTAGCCATCGCTCCAGCCTCACTAAGAGAAGGCTCAGGATGTGTTCGGCAGCATCTGAAAGCAAACACCAAGTTTTAAGCAACTAGGCCCGTTAGAAGAAAAAAAAAAAACCCTTAAATTAAAGCTCACCAAGAAGGCCGGACAAAAAAAAAAATAATTAGTGTCCTTCTAGTAAATATTAAGAGGATCTGCACTACCACCAGTAGCACTTCCTCCGGGTAGGAGGGATGATGTCATGGCTGCACGCTACAGCACTGTCGGGTTTGTCTGGCTATATGCTGCTAACGGGACACTCCCTACAGAACTGTGACCGCACAAGTCAGTTTTCCTGGTATCAGCAATCAGTTTAATAAGCGTTCAGAGACCTGCAATTAGCATATAAACGCAGTATAACCACCAAGCAAAAGAAGAAAAAAAAAAAGCAAAGAGGAGACAGCTGTAACAGGGTGGCAAACAAAGCTCTAAAGCATGAAAGAGAGAAAGGAATGTGGTTAAAAAATCTCCCCTAAGGAAGAATACTCTCTACGCCCGAGCTCCAGCTGTTTGACTTGCCCCGCTCCCTCCTCCACTCCATTATCCACTCTGGCTGCGCTAATTTAACACAAACCGCCCGCCTGTGTCAACTGTTGAAGGGGAGATGGGGGTAAGGCGGCCCCGGATGCATCTGGGCTCCCGGTGCAGAAAGGAAAAAACTTTGGGGCGGAAAGTTCAGGTGCCTTTGGCAGGTCGCTTTGTGCCGAGAGCTTAGGAAGCTGCGAGAGAAGGCAGCGAGAGTCCTTCCCCGCTGCAGCCTCTACCGACTAGAGCTTTGCCACCGCCTCCACGCGCACCGCGACTCCCACACGGCACCCAGATTTGCATGCAGAAAGATCTGCCTTCATCAACAAAGCCACGCAACTCCCGGCAAGAGGACCCGACTGCCCCCAATTCACGGCAGTCACTCCCACAGATGAGACAAGCAGGTCCGAAGAGTCAGGAGGAAGGAAAAAAGGAGGGAAAAGAATAAACCCGGTCAATTTTAAAGTCTGGAGGCCTGGATTTCCACAGGGAAGGTATTTTCACGTTTGAGATACTGGGGGGGCACCGCGAGGGTTTGGAAGTCATATATGCAGCCAAAATGGCGCTGAGAATAAAAATATAATTTAAAGGAAGGTCGCCATATTGTAAACAGTGAGGCAGGGAGACACAGAGACAGCAACCTCCATTATTCCCAGCAGCTGCAGCAGCACGGAAGCGCTGGGAACGTCATCCCCCCCCAGGCAACGCACCCTTAGAGAGGGGTGAGGAGGGGAAGTTATCGGCGGAGGAGGCGGGGGGGTGGAAGGACGGGTAGGGGCAGGGGGCAGTGAGGAGGGGAAGTTATCCGCTCGGGGCGGAGGAGGCGGGGGGGTGGAAGGCCGGGTAGGGGCAGCACCAAAGGAGCCAGGCCGCGCAGCCAGAGGCCTCGCTCCTCCTCTAGGCCTCTCGGCCGCTGCTCAGCACAAAAAGAAAGAAGGGTGGTGAACCCCCAACCCCCAGGGAAAGCAGCGAGGGGGCTTTTCACCTCGGCCGCTGTGGATTAGTCTCGGCGGGATGGACCCGAGTGGGGCTTGCACCTCCTTTTTGTTCCTGCCTGCTACGCCCGGTCCCGTGTCCCCCCCCTCCCCGCGCAAGGCAGGGACCTAACGGGAAGCGGGAGCCGCTGGAGGGAAGGTGCTGCCTGGGCCGGGACGGCCAGATCCGGAGGGAGATAGCGCCGAGCCTTACCAGCACTGGAGGTGGAAAGCGGCGGGGCAGTGATCGCAGCACAGCAGATCCCCTCCTTCCTTGCAGCTATCGCAGCTATCGTGGTTAGTGCCCCTGCCACTTCGCCTGGGCTCCTTCTCGGGCCTCCTGCTCTTCTTTTCCCCATCTTCGCTCTTGGGGGGAGCCAGGAGGGCTTGGATTTGCTGCACATGCACAGACAGACAGACAGAGAGGGCTCTGAGGGGCTGGGACGGACCCTGACCCCAAGCGCCCTTCTCCCAGCTGCCCGACGGGGGAAAAGCGGCCCCGGGCC